CGAGGAACGGCTAACCACCCTAGGGTCCGAAGTTATCCGCCACTATGGATCGGACATCCCGCTAACCCAGCTAGCCTCTGGACCTTGTGAGAACCTGCTTCAGGGAATCATCTCTTGCTCAAGAGGCGCAGTCGAAACTACTCTCTTCATGAAGGACGTAAGTGCTGACACCGCAGGGGACGTCACCGTGGATAGACTCTTGTCGAGGAACCGTTGCGAGAGCCCGACGGCTGCAGTGGGAACACTCCTTCCAACATGAAGAATGCAGCAAGCCTCAATCCGCTGCGATGCTAAGTGATCTTCGCCCCGACCATATGATCGGACAGATCACTCCATCGATTATGACACATGACTGACTACCCATCCCTTTAGAGCTCGGTAGCACTTAGCCGCGAAGGCCCATCCGGAGAGGAACCCCATCACGGCAATGCTGAGTCCCTTGCCACGGGAACACTTCACTAGGCTAAGTATCACCCTCTTTCAGAGATAACCAATCAACTTGTGCCAGATGATGCTAGGCAATCCCCCTTACGCTATCGTACTAGAAGGTTGCCCCATCAATTGAGCGCTGACTTATGAGAGGAAGAAAACAAATTTTTACTTTATCCCACAACCATTCATTTTACAATGTCATTCAGACCAAATAAAATACAATAAGAGGCAAGAACTGAAATCCCGTAAACCGGCTCCCAATCCCCCAGGCATGTCCCAGGACTGACACATGACAAGCCAGATACAATGCAATGAACTGAAATTTTAAAATTTTTACTTACATACATACAAAACTGGGGCCAATCTGGGCCCGGCAGACACATAAGTCCACCACTGAGTCGAGCCATCATAGGCTGCTCATATCCAGCTCCGGCATCCGAAATCATTCCATAATCATAGCAAGCCGACTATCGGCTGCTACTGGCGGCACACGGGTCACATCCCAGCGCATAATCATCATCAATAGTTGGCGGCTCACTGGCCACGTCCCAGCATATCATCAGCATAAAATCATCATCTGTAGCTGGCGGCACACTGTCCACGTCCCAGCATAAAATCATCATCAATAGCTGGCGGCTCACTGGCCACGTCCCAGCGTATTATCATCATCTGAAGCTGGCGGCATACTGTCCACGTCCCAGCGTAAAATCATCATCTGAAGCTGGCAGCACACTGTCCACGTCCCAACGTAAAATCATCATCTGTAGCTGGCGGCAACACTGTCCACGTCCCAGCGTGTAATCATCCGAAGTTGGCGGCACACTGTCCACGTCCCAGCATATAATCATATGAAGCTGGCGGCACACTGTCCACGTCCCAGCATATCCTAACCCTTAAGCAGCATTGGCCGCGGGGGGAGGTCGATGGTCCGCTCTGCGCCGAACTTGGGGGTGAAGTTTTCCTGCGGGCCGGCGGATGGAGGCGATCAAGGGGGGGAAGGCGTGCAGGGAGGCGCGCGTACTGAAATGTTAACAGCGCGCCAGGAAACGAGAGAGTGCGCCCAAAGGGCGGAGTGGCGGCGACCGTCGATGCGCGGGAATATCTCGAAGCGCCTGCCGTCGATAAGCGCGGGTCCTTTTTTTTTCTTTTTTTTGCCTCCTGGGCCGTGGTCCTACTAGCGAAGGGGATAGGATAGAAATCCTCAATCTGGCTATGTTTTATGCAGAGATACAGAAAAGCAGTTCTATCTCGATTTTCTGCTCCTGTCCTCGAACACATCCAGATTCAGGCAATTGTTTTTTTCTTTTTTTTTGGCGTGTCGTTTCGCGCTTTTTGTTTTTTTTTTTTTCTCATTTTCATTTTCATTTTTTTTTCTTTATCTTTTTCTTTTTCTTTTTTATTTCTTCTCGATTGAAAAAAAACTGCAAAAAACAAAAAAAAAAACAGCTGCAATTTTTGGGAAAAAAAATGCAGACGTTTTAGCGGCAGACCAGCTAATCGAGCGCGGGATCACCGGCCAGGCTCTCGCGTGTCGTTTTGTTTCCTTTTTTTTTCTTTTGTTTTTGGTTTTGTTTTTGACAAAAAAAACCTTTGCTTTTTTTTTTTTTTTTTTTTTTTTTCTCTCTCTCTCTCTCTCTCTCTCTCTCTCTCTCTCTCTCTCTCTCTCTCTCTCTTTGACATAGACACAGACACATACACGCCGAAGTATGGGCCTCGCCACACCACTCTGAAAATGTGCAAAATGAGAATGGACTTCCCACTACAACATAGCCAGATGCAGCCGGCAAAGTCTTTTTCACTTTTGTCTTTCTCTCTCCCTCTGTGTGCGTGTGTGTGCGAGCGTGTGTTTGTGTGTCAGAGAGAGAGTGCGGCCAAAGTTCTGCCATCGCCAATGGCACGAACCAAGGCAGCGAGGCCCAC